GGAGGGAAGGAAAAGTAAGATTGAAAGAGAAGAAAAAAGAGAACGGGGAAGTGGAGAAGGGAATGTAAGAAAGAGGGAAAGGAAGAAAGGAGAGAATGAATAAAAGGACAGAAGCGAAACAGTAGAGAGGAGGGAAGGGGCAGAGAAAATACGAGGAGAGGAAAGGGAGAAGGAAGGAAGAGGAGGAAAAGGGAAGGAGAAAGAGGTGATTGTGAGGAGAAGGGAAATGGGCAAAGAGAGGTCGAATGGGAAAGAAGAGAGAAGGGAAGGGATGAAGAAGATGGTTAGGAGGAGAGGGAAAGCGAAGGAGACGAGAAAATTAACAACGTCGCCACGTCGCGACAGGAGCCCCGCCCAGTACGAGAGGAACGGTGGGTCCGGACCAATGGTGCACCTCCTGCCCGACAGGCCACCAGGGGAGGGCAGCCACGTCCGGCAGGTTTTACCCCTGAAAGCCTCTCAAGGGGGAAACCGCGCTGAGCGTTAAGCGACGTGATCGCGTGCGGCGCAACGGATCGGCGAGTTCACTAGACTGAAGAGTTTAGACGCGAACCCGGCGAGAGCCAAGGGGGCGGACTGTGCCCATGCAAGGGGAAGTCACGCGGCTGTTTCTGACGGTCGAAGGGGGTCGAGGCCCAGTCGCCAAACCGCTCCCTCCCAAGGGGGGCGGTGGGCCGCCGCCCCGGAGCTGGGGGGGCCTCCCTTTGGACACCAGCTTCCTCGATACAGAGCAAACCACGTCCGGTGTGCCGTACCGAACCGTCTGCATACGACTGACATATCGGCTGGGGTGTTGTACCGGTTAGAGCAGGCTCCTCTTTTCCTGCGATTAAGTGAGACTCGTCCCCTACGGTCGGATGGTTTTGTTGTTGTTGTTGTTCAAGCCCTCCTCAACCCCTTCTTCTTCTTCTACTTCTCCGTCCCAGGAGGAGGAGTTCTGCTTCAAGAAGAAGTTCAAGAAGAAGAAGGGGAGGAGGAGGAGGAGGTAGTAACAGCAGCAGCAGCAGCAGTTGCAGCAGCAAGCCGCACTGCTGTCTGACTGAAACGGAGTGTGTGCGGTTGTGTGTGTGTGTGTACACGTGTGTGTGCGGTTGTGTGTGTATGTGCGAGTGTGGGTGTGGGCGTTTGGCTTGGCTGGCCTTTTGCCGTGGCAACTTGGTAAGGAAGACTGGGTCTCTCTCTCTCTCTCCCCCATCCTGCAAGGGAGAAGGGAAAGAGAGGGAGAGAGCCACCCTCCTCTCGGCAAGCGAGAGCGGGGGTGGCACTGCTTCCACGACGTCGCCCCGGTGGCGGCTGAGGGGCGCGCATAGGTATGTTGCTTTGCGGGAAATTCTTTTATTTTCTTTTTTACTTTGCCTCCCGGGTGACGAAGGAAAGAGAAAGGAAAGAGGGAGAGAACGAGAGAAGGAAGGAAGGAAGGAAAAAGGGAGCACCTCCTCACGCAGGACCCCTGGCCGCGGGGGACGTTGGTGCACGGTCTCCAGGAGTACTGACTGGCTGGGGCCGGGCAAGTGTGAGCGTCAAATGTAGTAGATATTTGTAAGTGTGAAAGGGTATGGGTGTCTGCAGGGCATTTTTTCCGGGGCCGAGCCGGATAGCCTCCCTCCTCCTCCTCCCCCCCCCCTTTTTTTGTGGGGGGGGGGTCGACGATGACGACGCCAACGCCGCCGCCGCCGGCAAAGTCCTTTCTTGCCTGGGTGCCCTTGGCGGGAATTCCCCCCCCCCTTCAAAAAAAAAAAAAAAAAGTGGGGGAAGGCCAGTGGGGGATAGGTGACCCCCTCCTTCATTCCCCCCCCCCCCACCCTCCCAGGCAACCCACATCACGACCGCCCCGCCGGGGGCGGTCCCCCCTAGCGCCCGCCAGGCTCCCGCTCCTGCCGGACGGATGGAAGGCCCTGTCTCTGGTCGTGTTGGCTGCGGGCCTGCGCCGCCAACTATAGGGAGAGGCGGTTGGGTGCGGGGCCGCGGGTGGCGGAGCGGGCTACCGGGCGGGGCTGGGAGCGCGGGCCGCCGGAGCCGAGCGCCGCCCTTGGCCTGCTGTGTGGCGGCGGCGGGGGCGGCCGCGCGTCTCCCACTCGGTCCCCCCGTGCCGCCGCCTGGCCTGAGCGGGCGGGCGGCGCGGCGGCCTGCCCAGCGAGGCCGTTCAGCCACGTCCTTGGCTGGCCAGGGGACGGCTTGGGCTTTTCCCTGCCCCTTCGGCCCCCCGCGCCTTCTCGGGCCGAGGGCGGCGGGCCCTGGCCTGGCCTGGCCTGCCTGCCTCGTCTTCCTTAGAACAGGGGTTGGCTCTGGCTTCCCCCCATCAGCCCCTGGCGCCCTCTCGGGCCGAGGGCGGCGGCGTGGGATTCGGGCGTGGCCCTGCCGCACCCTCGACGGGGCGTTGCCCCGGCCGGACGGGCAAGGGCGGGCCCTGGGCGCGGTCGTGTGTGGCTGAGGGCCTGCGCCGACAACGACAGGGGGACTGCCTCGGCTGCGGGCGGGGGGCGACCCCCGCCTCGAGCCCGCTGCTGCTGCTGCTGCGGCCGCCGTCGGGGCCGGCCCTCCCGCCCGCGCCGGCGGTGCAGGGCCCGCCCATTCCCCGGTTTGGCGGCTTGGGCTTCCTTTCCCCTTTCCCCTTCGTCCCCCTGCGCCCTCTCGGGCCGGGGGCGGAGGCGGCGGGCGGCGGGCGTGGCCTCTGCCGCCGCGAGGAAGCCCCTGCCTCTCCGGCTCCCGTCCCCGAAAGCGGGGCAGGCTTTGGGGGGTCCTGGCTGCCGGGGCCGTCGGAGGGGCTGCCTTCCGTGGCCCCCGGGGCCGAGCGGCCCCTGCCCGCGGTCGTGTGGCTGAGGGCCCGCGCCGACAACTATAGGGGGACCACCTTCGGCGGCTGCGGGCGGCGAGCTCGCCGTGGGCCGGTCGGGGGCCTTGCGCGGGCGGTGCGGGGGCATCCTGCTGGTTGGGCCTCGCCCCCCGGGCGGGCGGCTTGGGCTCTCCTGCCCCCTGCGCCCTCTCGGGCCGAGGGCGGAGGCGGCGGCTGGGGGCCCGTTGCTCCCCGCCCTCCACCCGCGAGAGAGTGAGGCGTTTACCGGGGCGTGCGGAGGGCGTCCTCTCCCTGGGCGTGGCGCAGGAGGGGCCCCTGTTTGCGGTCGTGTTGGCTGAGGGACCGCGCCGACAACTATAGGGGGACACCCATGGCCGCATCTCTTCCCTCCCTCACCGTTGCGGCGCTCTCCCTGCTCCTTTCCCCTTCTGTCCCTTGCTGCTCTGCTCTTTTCTCCCTGTTCTTACGTCCGGGGGTGTGTGGTGTCTTTTTGGGGTTTGGGCTCCGTCCTGTGCTCTTGGTAAGCTCGGGCGTCGGTCCCTTCCCCGAATTTCCCTCCCCCCCGAACCTGGCACAGCAAAGGTCGCGGGCTCGCGCCACGATGCCGACCGGGGGCCGCCGGGGTAACCAGTCCCCGTGCCACCCCCGCCAGTGTCGGCTGTGGTCCTGCCCTTCACACAGGCGACCGCCCCTCTCTTGACGTTCGGAATGGTTTCCGAGTGCCGCCCCCCTTTTGCGGCCTTCCCCTCGCGACGGCTGAGCGGTTCTTCTCCCCTCGGCCACGTTTCGCCGGTAGCGCGGAGTTAGATCCCGGGTGTGCACACCCTTGCGGCGAGAAAGGAAGAAACCCCCGGCAATCCCACGCCCCTCCTCCTGCGGAGCCCATGGGTGAGGCAGGTTGAAAAGGAGACTGGGCCAGCGAGAGTACCTCCCCTCCCCCTTGCCACGGGCTTGGCTAGCTCGCCTCCTGCCGGCTCCCGTTTGTGCTTGCTTGCTTGCTTGCCTCCGGAGCCGAGCCTTGCAGCGCGAGTTGCGGCCAGGGCCCCATTGCGTGTGGCGTTCTTCGGGGGGTTTGGAGTCGTATGTTGTTTTGTCTGCCCCTGCCTTTCCGGCTCCCGTCCCCGAAAGCGGGGCAGGCTTTGGGGGGGTCCTGGCTGCCGGGGCCGTCGGAGGGGCTGCCTTCCGTGGCCCCCGGGGCCGAGCGGCCCCTGCCCGCGGTCGTGTGGGCTGAGGGCCCGCGCCGACAACGACAGGGGGACTGCCTCGGCTGCGGGCGGCGGGGGGCGACCCCCGCCTCGAGCCCGCTGCTGCTGCTGCTGCTGCGGCCGCCGTCGGGGCCGGCCCGCCCGCCCATTCCCCAGTTTGGCGGCGAGGTTTGGAGGCGCGCGACCGTGCAGCCGGGCTGCCCGTCGTTGTTCCTCCATCTCCCGGTCGCGCTGGCTGGCTGGCTGGCTTGGTTCCGTCCCATCCACGGGGGGCTCTCGGCACGGCTCCCCGGCCTCTTCTCCCCCCCCCCCCCCGGGGAGGGAGGAGGCCGAACCCAAAAGTCTTTGTCAGCCCCGCCTGGTCACCGGGCCTACGAGGTGAGCGACGGCGCCGAGCCCAGTTTTGTGAGCCGGGTGTTTGGCGCCGTGGGCTACGCGTTTTCTCAGGGCGCAGGTTCTCCTCCCCTTTGAGGCCTCATTGAGTGGGAGGCGAGACACACACAAGTGTGAAACCCAGCAAAGACTCTTAACGGGGGATCACTTGGCTCGTGGGAAGACCGCGGCAAGAAGCGAAGTTTTGGTGGCTATCGCAATTCTCCCGTGATTCCATCGACGTGTCGAACGCACATTGCGGCGGCCCTGTGCCTTCTTCGAAGGACGGCTGCCACCTTCCCTCGAGTGTCGTGACATTGCCTCCCGGGACACAGTACGGACGGCTGCGGGTGTGCTCAACAGCAGCCCCCGCCCGTTCTCCGGGAAGGCCGCTACGAGAATCTCTTGAGAGTGAGGCGAAACAGCGCGCCGTGTTGGTTCCCCCCTTTCCGGCCGCTCTCCTTTCTCCCTACCTCTCTCCCTCCCTGCCTCCCTGTTCCCTGTTCCCTCTTGGAAGGGGGGACCGGGTCTCGCTGGCGGGCTGGTGACGAGTAGTGGGCTGAGGAGGTCGAGCAGCGGCCCCGGGCCGGGCGGGTTCCGCAAAAGCACCAACGGCGAGGCCTTTATCCTCGACCGTGCCGGAGGTTCGGGGGCGGCGGCGGCGGGCTGTGGCGGCACGTGTGGCTGCTGCTGCTGCTGCCCCTCGCGCCAACGATTCCGCCCTGGGGAGTTCGCCGGACCTGGAGGGACGCAGGTCCGCGTCCGGACGTTCCCTGAAGACGTGGAGGGTTTGCTCTCTCTTCCGTCGCTGTTGGCGCGGATGGCCAGTCCTCCCCTGGCCCCCGCGCCGGCCATGCCTGCCTGCCAGCCATTGGGCCCCAGTGTGGGATTAACGTGCCGAAAGGCCGGAGAGGCGCTCCCCCGAAGCCGACCAAACCAGCCGGCCAGTCCCGCGTGCTCGCTGCCTGCCCCCTTGCCAGTACCCCCAGGGGAACGGCCGTGCTTGGAGGGGCAAGGGCGCATCCTGAGAGCGCGAGAGCGCGCACGGGACCTCTCCGCGCCTGAAAAAGCCAACCAACGAACGCGGACTCTCTCTCCCTCTCCTCCTCCATCCCCTCCTCCCAAGGAGAGAAAGAAAGGCGAGGGCGCCTCGAGGGAGCCGCGCTAGGTAAGAAGGTAGCCGGGCCCGACGCTACCTTCACGAGCCCGCCCTCCCCTTCTTCCCCTTGCTGCTGCTGCTGCTAGCGACTTGCTTTTGCGGCAGCGGTAAAGGGGGAGGAGGAGGCTGCTTTTTTAGCAGCGGCAGCCTCTTCCGGTGTCTTGGCTTGGCCGTCCGACGGCCGGTCACGCCCCGGGGATACCCCTTCCTCTCGCCTCCTCTCGCAGCAATTTGTCTGGATCCAAAACGAACAAAAAAAGGAGAAAGAGAAAGAAAGCCAAAGAAACGGTCCAGTCAGATTTCGGGCTAAAGGGAATACGGTTAAAATCCCGTGACCTGCCCTGTGGCAAAGACAGACCCGTGCGTGGGAAAGAATGTTTTGTCGTGCGGGTGGCCGTCTGACCATGCCGGCGGCGGCTTATACGGCCGCTGCTGCCGTCGCGGTCACGACGACCCTCCTCCCGCTCCCCTTCTGTGAGAGGGCTTTCTCTGAAGAGAGTGGGAGTCGACCCCCCCCCACCCCCCCCCCGCGGGGAGGCGGCGGCGGCGACGACCACTCTCTTGCCGACCTCGCCGGTCTCGCCCGCTGCGGGCTTGGAGACCCCCTAACCGTGACGGTGTGTACTACGACCTCCCCTTCGCTCTCGGAGTAAGCGCCTCCTCCTCTTCCTCCTCGGAAAAACGGCGTGGAAAAGAATCCCCCTCCCTCCCTCCCTGCTTGTTGTGGTCGGGTCGGTCGAGGGGTTTGACGATTGGCTTCCACCGCCACGGCTTCCGGGAGAGCTTTGGGAAGAGAAAAAGAGCAAAAGAGAGTGCGCGGCCGCGCTGGCAGCCCCCCTTTGAATCTCCTTAGATCCGGTGGTCCGGAGGCCAGTGTGTGTGCTTGGCAACAGGCGTACTCGTTCGCCGACGCCGGCGGTAGCCCGGGGAAGAGCTTTCTTCTCTTTTTTAGGCTGCTGGAGGCCCCCAAGTTCGTTCACTTTGAGTGGGGGTCGTTGGCCGTAACAGCCATACGTGAGATTGTGATCTGTTGGGAGTAATCCTCGCTGTTGCGATAGCCGTAGAGCACCGCGCAAATAAGCGCTTGGTGTCCCGTGCGCTACCGCCGGCCCTTGAAAAGGTGGATAGGGTAAACCCCCTCCGGTACCAACCAAACCCAACCGAAGCCAAGAGAAAAAAAAAAAAAAAAAAAAAACAACACTACAACTACCCAAACATATCAAATGACTACGTGGAATACATTTTGAATACTGATGAAAAAATAATGTTTTTATCGCATTTCGCTTAGTGATAGTTTTTCCTAGCAATGTCCGAATGCAATCATCTGATAAATACTTGATTTTTAAAGACCTACAGTCAAAATAATATTCATAGACAATCTAAAACTATATTTCCAATGAATTATGATTTATATAAGACGTAACCAATACATAAAATATTTATTCCTAAGCAATTAGCATTATACATGTGTTGTCATATTTTTTTTTTTCTATTTCTTCTTTTCAGGATGTAGCGTTTACGAGTTTTCATTTATTTTAGCTTTTAAATTGATTTTCCTTGGGATATTGATGGAAATAGATATGAGAGCTGTAAGAGAACAACCAGCGCTGTTGACTGTCGCCGAATAAGCGTTGCATTTTGAGTATTAATAAAGCATCTGTCGAACTCGATCTAGCACACACACACATACGTACATATATGTATATACATATACATAAACACATACACACACACACGACGGACAATAGTAGACAGGCAAATACAGATAAACAGATAGTCAGTCAGACACTGTTTACCATGCTCTGTGTGTTTGTCTCTATTACTATCTTTCTGTCTCTTTGTCTGCATCACTGTCTTTCTACCACTCTGTCTCTCTTTGATTCTGTCTTTGTCTCTGTTGCTAATTCGACCTTCTCAGAGAGTTAGTTTAGTTATATGTAAAAAAAAAAACTTTTTTCATTTTCTATAGA